AACGCGGGGCAGCCCCGCCGCGCCCGGGCTGTAAATCTTAGGGCGAGACGGGGGAAGCGGAGGCTTTCGCGGGGTGCCTGCTTACCCTTCACGGCAGCGCCGGGGGCCGGTGCTCAGGCCGTGCCTCGGGGACCGCCGGGCGCCTGACCCCTGGCTCGAGGGGAGCTGCGCTTCTGCGGCAGGAAAATCGCTCCGCGTGTTTAATGGGAGTTCGGCCGGTTTACCGTCAAACCGTGCTTTGGGGCAGAAGGTGCCTCTTGGGGATGTGCAGTCGAGCCTCAGCTCCTCACATTTCATCTCCCCGATTTCTGTAGGGATTTCTTACCTGTTAACTCATGGGTTGCAGAACACAGAGAACAAGTTTTTTTTTTTTTTTTTTTTTTTTTTTTTTACATCTTGCTAAAAGAATTGTGCCCAGAAGCAAAGGTCTGAAGCATTGAATGTAGTGCAGAAACACAAAACCTTATATTATTATTACTATTACTTTGTTAATTCTTATCAGTATTAAGCACATACAAAACCCTCTTTTCATAATAACTTTCATGGAACTTTGTTCCTACTGAGTTATTAAGGTCTTGGAAGGGGGAAGCTTGTGACATTTAAAAAGAAGTGCCAAAGTTTTCTTCAGACGCACTTATTTTAGAGATTGCTGTACAGAGGCAAATATTTTTCTTTCTCCTTTCCCCTCCCCTTTCCTTTTAGCCCGCCTGGTGCTATTTAAAGGCTATTAAGCTATTTTGATATGTAGATTTAAAGGTACACACCTTCGCAAAGAGCCTTTAAGGGAAGGTTTTTCCAATCAATTGCCTGGTTTTGTTCAGATGAAATAAGTTGTTTGAGAATGGTAGCTGTGAACGTTTAATCTGTGTTCAGTAGTTAACAGGCAAGCAAAGGTAAGGGCCAGTGTGCTTAGCTCTAGGGGCCTCCTTCAAGAAAGTTTGAGAATATTGAGTAAAGAGCTAAAACCTGGAGCTGAGTAGCACTATTTACTCTTTTATTTTGCTATTTATTATTTACTATTTATGCTTGAAACTCTGTGTCTGTAAGGCACCTTAAAGCATTAAATATTTGCTCTTCATTTTAAGTTGTATGTTCTTGAAAATTGGACCAGTCTGTTGCCCCCGTGGGAGCTGCTGGTCTTCAAATGGGGTTACAGTCGTGATGCTCTGCTCTCACATGAAAATCATAATCTACTAAGTGATGGAAAAGTCATCTTGGTGCTCATAACTAAGATGTAGCCAGCTAGATTTTACTTAGTGCTGCACAGAAAATCAAAGCTTTTGAACAGAGCTTCATATGTTCCCAGGCAAGGCTCAGGAAGATCATAAATGTATGTGTGGGAAGCATAACTGCCTTTAAACCTGAAGACATCAGCATCTCTGTAACCTGAAGATTTTGCAGAGTTTTTGTGCGGAAAATCTCTTCTCCTCTTCGAAGAATATTTTAGGTTTCTCTCCAGCCAATGTTAGGTGCCCAGATGGCGTGAGCTGGCCGGAGGCAGCTTAGACCAGGTGAGAACCTAGTCTCTAACAGCTGCTGCCATAGCCTGGCCGTAGCACTCGGGAATTTCAGCGGGACAAAACTCACTTCAAAACCTGCCTAATTCATTGCAAGAACCATAGCAGGAGCTGTTGTTTGATTTGTGCCACTGAGAACTGTTGAAGCTCTGAAAACAGAGGCCTCTTAATGGTTTAGTGCTAGGGTGGCTTGCGAGGCAGCTCGTTTGCTGCAGTGCAAACCCCTTCGTCGGGACTATTCTAACCTGTTGCGAGTCTCTCCTCAGTTTGGGTTTTGCACAGGTGATTAAGCAGGCTTGGCCAGAAGCCTGGTGACGGCGCAGGGCTCTGGAATGTGTCCCTGTTACCTGGGCAGTTACTCATGGTAGCTTTACTTCCGTGAGCCCGATGATTCCTTTGAAAGTGCTCCTGAACCCAGGAGTGCTGCTGCAATTGGGCAAGCTGAAATTACATACGCTGCGGAGGGAAAGGTGGGTCTGCTGGTGCTTAACCTCTCTCAGAGGAAGTGAAAAGATCTTGACCCGGCCCTGATTTCTACATTAAAGAGGTTGAAAATTGGAACTACGTGCTGTCTTCAATGGGGAAGAAGCCTCTTGCTGGGAAACATGTTATTAACTCCATGATGTCTCTGGCCTGTTATGCCTTAAGAGCGGCAGTGCTTGCTGACTTAGTGCGCTCTTCAGCCACAATTGCCTACGCTCAAAAGTCCTGATCAAAAGACATTCCCTTTCCCCTCCAAACACGGCGTTTCACGGTACAGAACCGGCGTGACGTGACCTGGCTTAGTGACGTGGTCAAGCAGATGAAAACACAGCGCTTGGCCTTGGCCTCGAGACAGGGCTGCTGCTGGAGGAGCAGCCGGCTCAGCGCCTCGGGCCCCGGCGAACGCAGGTGAGCTCCTTTACTTTGTAGCCCTCTTTCCAGGAGTTGTGGAAGACGGTTCTTACCGTCTGCCTAACGCTCTGCCAGAAACTGCTCTCACGTTGGTCAGTAGGACCTTGTCTCTGTTAAGGAGCAGATAGTGAACGTAGGTATTGGGTGTGGAGTTGCTGCTGGCAGGACTCCCCAAAGCCAACACAAGTGTCTAAGGAGCAGCACGAAGGAGGGAATTGGAGTTTGCTGCTCCTTTTTCCTCTGTGGAAGATAATGAGGGAGGAAAAGGGTATCTTACGAGGAGCAAAAGGCTTAGCTTTTCTACACAGGATAAATCCTAGCACTGATAGATGTCTTTGGTGGAATCAGTGTTTTCGATGAAAGGGCCTTTCTAAGAATGAAAGCACCCTGCTTGGGTTTTGCATGGAATGTCTGAACTTTGGGTGTTGCTTCAATAAAAATAATTCCTCGTCTTTTTATGGGATATAGAGACTCTGGGCGTTACTTTAAGAAAAGCACCTTGGAACTCCAAGATGAACAGAATTGCTAAAAGGAGTTAGTTCTCCATGAGGAAAAAACAATAAACTGAATTTGGAATTTCTGAACCAAGCCCTCAAAGGCAACTTGTGGCAAAACTCCAAGAAAATGGGGGAAAATGTCATTTTTTAATAGAATGGCTCTATGGCTTCTTTTACAATTGTAGCTAGACACCACTTTGAAGAGTGATTCTCCCCTTCAGAGGCCTATAGATGAGATGCTTAGAAAAGGCAGTTTAATTTTGGTGTAACATTGAAAAGAATTTAAAATGTTAAAATTAGGAATTTGTTGAAAGTTGAGTTAGAGAAAATAATCGTCATTTGAACGTATGAATTAAAATCGGTCCTGAATCAGCATCAAAATTGTTCCCTTTAGCTTCTGCCAGGCTGCCGTACTTGCACGTTTAACTGGTGTTCGGCACCTCTGATAGGTAAAAGGCCAGCGTGGTTA